GTATTTGTGTTCAACATGTGAGAAGTAGAAAGTACAGGTATTTGAGTTCAACATGTAAGAAGTAGAAAGTACAGGTATTTGAGTTCAACATGTGAGAAGTAGAAAGTACAGGTATTTGAGTTCAACATGTGAGAAGTAGAAAGTACAGGTATTTGAGTTCAACATGTAAGAAGTAGAAAGTACAGGTATTTGAGTTCAACATGTAAGAAGTAGAAAGTACAGGTATTTGAGTTCAACATGTGAGAAGTAGAAAGTACAGGTATTTGTGCTCAACATGTGAGAAGTAGAAAGTACAGGTATTTGAGTTCAACATGTAAGAAGTAGAAAGTACAGGTATTTGAGTTCAACATGTGAGAAGTAGAAAGTACAGGTATTTGAGTTCAACATGTAAGAAGTAGAAAGTACAGGTATTTGAGTTCAACATGAGAAGTAGAAAGTACAGGTATTTGAGTTCAACATGTGAGAAGTAGAAAGTACAGGTATTTGAGTTCAACATGTAAGAAGTAGAAAGTTCAGGTATTTGAGTTCAACATGTAAGAAGTAGAAAGTACAGGTATTTGTGTTCAACATGTAAGAAGTAGAAAGTACAGGTATTTGAGTTCAACATGTAAGAAGTAGAAAGTACAGGTATTTGAGTTCAACATGTAAGAAGTAGAAAGTACAGGTATTTGAGTTCAACATGTGAGAAGTAGAAAGTACAGGTATTTGTGTTCAACATGTGAGAAGTAGAAAGTACAGGTATTTGAGTTATACATGTAAGAAGTAGAAAGTACAGGTATTTGTGTTCAACATGTAAGAAGTAGAAAGTACAGGTATTTGTGTTCAACATGTGAGAAGTAGAAAGTACAGGTATTGTGTGTCAACATGTGAGAAGTAGAAAGTACAGGTATTTGAGTTCACATGTAAGAAGTAGAAAGTACAGGTATTTGAGTTCAACATGTAAGAAGTAGAAAGTACAGGTATTTGAGTTCAACATGTGAGAAGTAGAAAGTACAGGTATTTGAGTTCAACATGTAAGAAGTAGAAAGTACAGGTATTTGAGTTCAACATGTAAGAAGTAGAAAGTACAGGTATTTGAGTTCAACATGTGAGAAGTAGAAAGTACAGGTATTTGTGCTCAACATGTGAGAAGTAGAAAGTACAGGTATTTGAGTTCAACATGTGTAAGAAGTAGAAAGTTCAGGTATTTGAGTTCAACATGTAAGAAGTAGAAAGTACAGGTATTTGTGTTCAACATGTAAGAAGTAGAAAGTACAGGTATTTGTGTTCAACATGTAGAAGTAGAAAGTACAGGTATTTGAGTTCAACATGTAAGAAGTAGAAAGTACAGGTATTTGAGTTCAACATGTAAGAAGTAGAAAGTACAGGTATTTGAGTTCAACATGTAAGAAGTAGAAAGTACAGGTATTTGTGTTCAACATGTAAGAAGTAGAAAGTACAGGTATTTGTGTTCACATGTAAGAAGTAGAAAGTACAGGTATTTGAGTTCAACATGTAAGAAGTAGAAAGTACAGGTATTTGAGTTCAACATGTAAGAAGTAGAAAGTACAGGTATTTGTGTTCAACATGTAAGAAGTAGAAAGTACAGGTATTTGAGTTCAACATGTAAGAAGTAGAAAGTACAGGTATTTGAGTTCAACATGTAAGAAGTAGAAAGTACAGGTATTTGTGTTCAACATGTAAGAAGTAGAAAGTACAGGTATTTGAGTTCAACATGTAAGAAGTAGAAAGTACAGGTATTTGTGTTCAACATGTAAGAAGTAGAAAGTACAGGTATTTGAGTTCAACATTGTAAGAAGTAGAAAGTACAGGTATTTGTGTTCAACATGTAAGAAGTAGAAAGTACAGGTATTTGAGTTCAACATGTAAGAAGTAGAAAGTACAGGTATTTGTGTTCAACATGTAAGAAGTAGAAAGTACAGGTATTTGGGTTCAACATGTGAGAAGTAGAAAGTAAAAAGTGGTCAGAAAAATAAGTAGTGGAGTAAAGTACTGATACCAGGAACATGTACTTAAGTACAGTAACAGAGTATTTGTACTCCACTACTCCCACCTCTGCTTCTCACTCTCTTTGCTGTACCATCCCAACACTTTAACCCTCATCCCTTCTGTCTGTATTTAACACTTTCCTCCATGTTCTTCCTCCTCTCTCTTGTTCTGTGTTTTCTGTGCTAACTGTGTTCCTGTTCTCTATCTTCTTCTGTCGTTGTAGCGAGGGCTGAAGAATGTTTTTGATGAAGCTATCCTAGCCGCCCTAGAGCCCCCCGAGACGCAGGGAGAGAGGACATGCTGTTTATTCTAACATCTCTCTGTGCCACTGCTCTCATCTCCTCCTCCTCCTCCTCTTCTAAATTACAGTTTTCTTTCTGCTTTTTCCTTAATTGACCCCGTCGTTCTGCTCCCCTGTAACTGTCTGTATTTACATGTGCTGCTTTCAGAGTCATTTAAGTCAGAAATCTGGAGAAAAAGTCAGAAATCGAGGGAAACTAATAATTTTCCCTTTTCCCCTGAAAATCTTGGATAAAAAATGCAAAATCTGAGAAAAAAGTGTGAATTTGTCGATAAAATCTGAGAGAAAAGTCAGATTTTGAGCGAAATAAATAATTAAGAATTTTACCCCAAAAAATCTCAGATAAAAAATTCCAAATCTGAGATTTTTTTAATTTATTTGTCGATAAAATCTGGGGAAAAGTCAGATTTTGTGAAAAGAAATTATTGGAAAAAGTCAGAATTCTGAGAGAAAAGTCAGATTTTCACCTGAAAATCTCTTGAGAAAGAATTGTCCAAATCTGAGAAAAAAAAGTCTGAATATGTTGAAAATATAAAAAATAACTGACTTTTCTCAGCACTTAAAAAAAAAAAATCACTTTTGGTCTGATCAGTAAAATTGAAATCACACTTTCCCCTAATCCTCTGTAAACTCCCAAACATTCCTACCCTTAGGAAAATACATTCCAACTCAAACTTGTCTCCCAGCCTGCATCACTAACCGTCTGATCTCTAACCTGTAACTACTGCCATTTGGTGTTTTCATCTACATCTTCTTCTGTGGTTAATGTCAGCTTTCTTACACTCTGTATTACTCATGGATGTATAATAAGAACTGGATACAGCGTGGTGGGAGGCGGGGTCTCCTTCTTTCCTATGAGAGCTGCTCATTGGCGCATGAGGACAAAATGGCCCAACTTACCCATCATGCCTAGCTGTCAGAGCAGAAGAACCCGTATGTGTGCTCACAGAGCATGCGCCCCTTAAGCCCCGCCCCCCGAGCTCCCACTCTGCTCTAGAATGAATGGAGACAGAAAATAAATCTAGATTCGGCTTTTAGTGCATTTTACAACTTTAAGGACCTAATTATTCTAATAAGGTCTATAAAGTAGTTCATACGGGGTAGTTTATTTAGTTTTAAAAAAAAGTATCCTCTGATTTACAGACGTCTCTTTCCCCATGTTAGTCAATGGGGAAAAGTCTTTCTGGGCCCAGTGACGTCACGGACTGATACGGAAGTTGTAGTACCGCCATTTGGCCACTACGAATTTGTTCCTCAGAGCCTGGCGCACTTCCTGGGGGCTTGGTATTACTACTTTCCTTTCCTCTGCTTATTAACATGGCTCCTTGCCGACAGTGGAGCGGTATCTAACAGAGGAAGTAGGAGGTCATTTGGAATGTAGCCATTGTTTGAGTTCAACCCTTCCCGTGTGTTGTACTATTCGATGTTGGGAGGATTTAAAATGAGGGTGGGGGGCTGGGATTGATCTCAACCATAAACAGAGCTTCCACTTCGACTGCTAATGTATTTTTTGTACTACTGTGGATGTAAACAAAACTTGAAGTCTGGCTTAAGTGAGGGCTTTTAAGTACTTGTGTCATATAAATGTAACACAACTAGTAAGGACATTTGTGTTTTGTAGATTATTTCTTTTCTGCAATAAATCTGATCCCGTTGGAAAGCCTGTTTTCTTACCTTTCCATTCCATGGCATTGGCAGAGGAGATTTGTCATGGGCGCAACCCTCATACTCAGCTCTGCCGCCCATCCCACAAATGCATGTTCCTCACAAATGTGGTACCATTGGAAAGGTAAGAAAACAGGCTTTCCGACGGTCTAAGATGTAGTGCCGAAAAGCATGGTTACAACATAGAAATCATCTACCAAGCACACATGTCCTTATGTGTTAAGTTTATTTAGGGAGTGTTCGGTCATATTTTGTTTACAAGATTCATTAAGTTGCTTCATGGTCTTATTGATCTAGTTTATAGCTTTCTGAACTATGTTGGCCCTACTTTCTCTATGTATGACACAGAACTGCTGCTCATCATGCCGTCTTGATCACCGGAAAAAAATCTATAATTGTGTGAACTGACATGTGAAAATAATGAATAAAGGATGAATTAACTTGCTCTCTTGCTTGTTTTTCCAGTTCTTTGTCTCACACACGTTAGTCCTGGGCGGAGTTAAGCAGCGCTGAGGGGTGTATCGGTTTACTGCATGAAGGGAAGCAGTGTGAGGAGCTCTGCTTTACTCTCACATGACCAAAGCTCATGGTGTAAGCTCAGGGCAAACACAAAGAGGAAAGGAACTCCTCATGAGAGTTGAGCTTGGGGTCTTTAATACTTCATAGTGAGCCATTTGTATCTGAACACACGGCGTTTGGAATGATTAGTTTCAGGGGCTCTGCTTCCTTTCCCCTCCTCTTTGGTTGACCTGTCTGTTGTTTTCAGCTTCACGTTGCTTTTGAAAAAAGCATGTGATTTGTGTTGTTGGCACTTTATCCCTGGCTTCACACGACATACTTGAGTTGGTCTGATTCGTGAAATCATTTACATTACTGTTGATTTCTTATCCGACTGTTTTATGACACCCCCCCTTTTGGTTTTCACTTGCTTTTTTCCCTCCGTTTAAGCTGACATGGTGTTTCCCCTGTACCTTTTTTATTTGCTGACTTGTTTGTGTTTACGTTGCCTCCTTATTTAGCCTGTATTTTTGTTTGTTTGTGTTCACAGAAAGGCCTAAAGAATGTGTTTGATGAGGCGATATTGGCTGCATTGGAGCCCCCAGAGCCCAAGAAGAAACGCAAATGTGTGCTGCTATGAGAGGCTCCTCCCTTTTTCAAAGCACACACACACATGACACATACACACATCTTAAATACACACACACACATACACCCCGCCCTCCATAGAGAAGACTAAGAAGTGAAACCGCCCACAGTTCAGATCATTCTCTGCAATAAAAGGAAGAAGCAGGAGGACTTAGTCTCAGGCGGGGATCCAGATGTCGAGCTTACACACAAGTAGAATCCATTCTGTGGAGCTTTTGATAGATTTCGATGCAGCCAGGTCAACTTTTAGATGTCCAAGTCATTTAGATGTCTTCAGCCAATGTAAAGGGTTTCATGGATATATAAAAAAAGCCCCGCCCCCAGCCCATCCCAGCTGTCTGATTGGTTGCTGTTGGTCCCGCCTCCCTACCAGAAGAAATGCTAACAAAGTAGTGTTTTGTTTGCCAACACCCTCCTTTTTTCTCACCCTCAAACACACAAGATATTTATTCCATGTTCTGGATAGACTCGCTCTTAACCACTAAGGAAAAAATGCGACAGCAATACGGCTAAAAACTCCACATCCAGAAACTTTTTAAACGATAGTAACATATTGCCATTTTAGTATCCAGTTCTCTTTAGTGGCGGTTTTTTCAAGGAGTGCGGTAATCACGTGAAGAGCTTAAAAGGCGTCCGGTAGAAATGGTTCCACTAAAGGAATTGGCCTTTTAGGTGCAGGGAACTCAAACAGTGTTAGCAGAACAAAGCGGTGTTCTTCGTGCGATGCCAGGGACCAAAGGAGGGGTCGTCATCCATCTACACTTACAGCGGGTTCAGGAGAGACAGACGTGAAATCAGGAGATCCAGAGAAAATGAAACGGTGTCCTCTCTCTTGTTCCCGCTCAAACTGTACGTGGCTCTGGTCTCTGTTTCTACATGCTACTTTTAACAGATGTAATTATAATGTAAAATGGCACACAATGTTGATGTAGGTGTTTTTACCAAAATATGTTTTTTTTCTTCATTATTTTCCGTTTGTGCTGTTTTATTTTTTATTTTATATATATAAATATATAAAAACAAAAAAGGTTACTTTCACTCCTTTTACATTTTTAGGGGTCATCTGAACTCTTACCTGCCAGGTAATACCAAGAACACGCTCTGATTGGTTATACACAAAAAATAACCTCCAATGGCAGAAAGACTGTTTGTGATTGGTTGGCCCTTGTTTTTCTTTAACTGGTGGCTTAGAGTTGGGTTCATTTCCAGCCCAAAGTCAGTATAATTATTATAACCTGTTGTTGTTTTGGTGCAAAAACCAAATGCTCTGTCTAAAGTCTTTGTTCTTTGTATATGCATTCTTTAAAAAAATATTAAACTTATACCTTAATTGCCTTTACCATGTTTCCCTTGCCATTCTTTTTCACATTGTGACCGCTGAACTTCACCGACAAACAGAATAACGTTCGACCATCATGACGTGTAAACGTATGATATTTTAATAGGGTTTAGTAGGGATGTAACGATATATCGAATATCGCGATAAATAAATCTCGATATCGTCGTGAGACTGACAAAATCAATTAAAAAAAAACATTAAACCAGGCGGTCCCATTGAGATCATCGATCTCTTTTTCAAGGGAGACCTGTCCAACATGGCAGCAAGTAGGTTACAACATAAAACAACAGATAACACAAAAGGACATCGTATTTACAGGACTACATGTACACACCTAGAGACATTGACAAGTACCAACAGTATATTTATATCTCTGTCAATAAGCCTCACCTTCTTGGCAACAACTGTATTGTTGTTGAAGTGGTGGAGAGACAATGCACAGTTTGACCCACTGCTGTCACCCATGGCCAAAGCATATCTCTCTCCCAGCAACATCAGTACCAAGCAAGAGAGTTGTTTCCACAGCAGGGGATTTTGCAAACGCCCAAACATCCCAGCTTCTACCTGGAAATGTGGACATGCTCATATTCCTAAAAGATAACCTGTCTGATGACGCTGAGCGAGTGAGTGAGTGAGTGAGCGAGTGAGTGAGTGAGTGAGCGAGTGAGTGAGTGAGTGAGTTACTTGAACAACTAAAGGGTCTGATTATTATATTTTTGACACTTTAAAATACTACTATCCTACTAAAATGCTGTACAAATCAGATGTATTATTTAATAAAAAAAAAAAAAAAAGCCCAAATAAATGTTTCAAATTTGTTTTTTTCTAAATGTTTTTTTTTCTTTATTTTTCAATATCGCAATAAATATCGTACCGTTTTTGGTATCGTTACATCCCTAGTGTTTAGAAAAATAAATATATGTCCTCCATCAAATCCACTTTTTGTTACCAGTGTTTCAAACCTCATATTGGTGGTTTCCATGTTATCTCTTGCTGGTAATTGCATGCAACTTTTATTGAGCAATTTGGGACACAGCATGGGTTTTCTCCATATGGGAGGTCCGACATTATTCAGATGTTTGCACATGCTTAGTTAAATGTAGAGATTCATATTCCAGATTCAAACCGAATAATCCATCAGGTACTTTAGATCTGAACTTCTTTAGGAAATTAACTGAAACATGATTTTTTAGGAAAGTGCAGACTATTCTCTAGATAATCTTTGTTTCCATTATTCTGTATATTGTATGCAACTTTTATTGAGCAATTTGGGACAAAGCATGGTGTTTCTCCATCTGTTCGAATTCCCATCACAGGTGGATGCGCCTGTCATTACATGTTCATCCAGCAGGAGGCGCTGTCCACCAATTGTTCCTGATGTTCCTTCCCGCTCCGTCCCTCCATTGAAGTGCTTTTATTCCCATTTAAAAACGTATAGTAAATTGTTGTCACTGGGATTGTTTGCACTATTTGGATCGTGTGTGCACATCGCCCACAGTCCAGAAGTTAAGATGAAACTGAATCCTCAAGAGAATTAAAAAGTAAAACAAGAAAGCAGAGGTACGAAAATCAAGATAAATATATGAAAATTCAATATAGTATTGATTTGAAATAATAATAGTAGGCTATGGACTTTGCAGACAATCGTACCTCTATGCATTCAGTAGAGTGTTTTTTAAATGAACACATTGTTTGGATACAGATGGCCGGCTTAGATCCATAATGAAATACTCTTGATATGATAGTGATTTAATATGAGAACATGTACTGAATGTTATCAAGAAATCCTCATGGTCTGCTGGTTTGATCACAACTTGAGTTATTACATTTTCTATGAAAAAGTATCAGACAAATCGACGATATTGTGAACTAACTGACAAAATCTTTACTTAAGATTCTCACTGATAAAAGCCAAGAAACAAGAACAATTGGCTTTAAATTAGACATCGATAATAACATTTAATTGTTCAACGGTGACTCATGTGTACACTTTTGAAAGGACAATGATTTTAATATCACAATATCCAAGTATGAAAGTATTGTTTAAGTTATTTCATTGTTTGTTAGGTCTGGAGTTTGACACAACGGATAAGGCAAGGTTATTTATAAAGCACCTTTCAACACAAAGCAATCAACGTGCTTTACACATTAAGAGCTTCAAGAAACATATTATAAAATGGCATTTCAAAACACTCAAAACGAAGGTACATGAAGTAATAAAATGATACCTTATTGGCTTTTTTAAAGAATGTTATTGTCACCTGTACATACATGTATATATATACATATATATATATATATACATATATATATATATATGTATATATACATATATATATATATATATACATATATATATATATACATATTCATATATATATACATATTCATATATATACATATACATGTATATATACATGTAGATACATGTATATATATGTATATATATACATATATATATACATATATATATTAGGGCTGTCAAACGATTAACATTTTTAATCAGATTAATCACAGCTTAAAAATTAATTAATCAGATTAATCACCATTCGAACTATGTCCAAAATATGCCATTTATTTATGTATATTGTTGTGGTGGGAATGGAAAGATAAATGAAAGAAGGCGGATATATCCATTTAACATACAGTATCTATGTTTATTATAACATTTTCTGCGTGTCAAAATGAAAGACAACCCACACACCTATCAATCATCAAACCGTGGGGTCTTAATTCATTACGTGTTGATTTCTATCAACGGGGGAGTACTTCAGGAAAGTCGACAGAGGGGGGGGGGGGGGGTCGGCGGCGGCTAGTGGAGTACTTCGTGACCAGAGTGTGAACGTTGTGATCAGCTGTTTTAGCGCAGTTCTCCAGTGAAGGGGGGGAGTCTCCCTCCGCAGCCGGTTGGCGTAGTTTTGGCACAATTCCGTTGTACAGACCGACGTTAACAGCAGCCCTGTCTGTGCACACGGACACCGACTCTGTCGTCCGGTGATCTAACCGCCTTCTGGAAAAGCTTCACAAGTACGTCGGTACGCAAATGCGCTTTGTGACACAAGTGACGGTACGCATTTCAGATTACGCACATAACCTGCGTACCAGTTATGTGCACCCCTGTACTACAGCAAAAGTATTCTCCGTCGGGACTTCCTGCAACAACACCACGCCGTTATCAAAGATGTTCTATTGAGAAGACGATCACTACGTGACAAAAGTTTTCAAAACCGTGGCTTCTGAAATCAATCTTACTAACTGCTGTCTGTGCAATTTACTCCGCGCGAGTTGGCAGACTTTATTTTGCTTACTTTAACATCATTTTTCATGGTGGGGCTAAGCCATTTCTTGGTATGGGTGTAGCCTACCCCAGCCATACCCTGGCACTGCCACTGGTGGCACGTATGGGGCGGGCCATTCTGCACATGCGTTAAATGCGTTAAATATTTTAACGCAATTAATTACCGCCGTTAACGCGATAATTTTGACAGCACTAATATATATATATATATATATATATATATATATACATATATATATATATATATACATATATATATATACACATATATATATGTATATATACATATATATATATACATATATATATATATCAATGAAAATCTGAGGTCACAGGCTACTCCAACAGTGCAACACAATACAACTGATAAAATAGAATAGCTACCACGTTACTCCTACCTTTGCTTTTCCCTTCCCCCCTCAGGGTTGGTACACTGTAGTAAAAGTGTATTTCTGTAGTGTTGGTGTTGAGAGATCAGTGTCACTTTCTCACAGCTTACGCAGATGTGCAGGAATTCCTCAAATGGCAGAAAATGAGGGCGATATCCCAGGTTTGGTGACCTGGATCTTCTCTTCTTCACACATTCCCTGCGTTTCTGGAGTGATTTCTGTCAGCGCCTTCTTCTGCTAAAGAGACGCTGACAGCCATTAATTATCACACAGGCTGAACCAAGGGCATTCCTAGTGTACACACTGTTGAGATCTTCATAGTATGTTGAATACTTAAAACAAAAGTTAATTATAATCAATTATAATCAATTATATTCTTGTATAACTCACAATGAAAATGTTTCATATGTTATGTTTTTCTATATTTACAGTATAAACCAAGTGGTTTGTTAAGTTGAGTGTAAGGCCTATAATGATTTATGGGTGTCTCTGATAAGAGAGTAGGCAGTTTCTTCCCTCTCCTCTCACAGCAGTACATAGGGAGGGGGGCTCCGGACTTAAGGAGAAATACATTGAGGCCTCAAAAAGGCGGTTATGTCATAGCCATAGAATATGTCTGGTCATGTCCTTTTTTACACAAACATGGGAAGGTGTGTCTTATGCTATAGCCAATAGAATATGTCCAGTCCTGTACATCAGTGGCCATGCCCAGTTTGTTTCATTGGTTGGGTATGGAGGAGGTGTTTTTGGGGTTTCTATCCTGTTTTTTTAGCATAAAGAGACTGGCTTTTTGGAGGGAGCGAGAGAGAGGGGGGGGTTCCCCTGGTATACTCTCTGGCCCTCAGAGCTGGGTTAATAGCTCTCGGTAAAGGTTCTCTCAAACTTGGTAAATATCTCTTGATTTTCTTCGTTGAAAGCTGAGTGAATTACTTTGTGAATGAGTGGAATGAATTGAGATGTGTTTGTGAGTATTAGTACCCGCCACCTGTGAGGACCTTCCTCCGAATTCATGCGGATAGGAACGGGTTTTTGAATGTTATTCCCGCCGTCTGTGTCGGAAAAAAGGTATGAAATTGATGTGAAGTGATTGGGTGAAAATGAAAGTTTGAATGTGCTTTTTATTATCACCGGTCATTTATGAGGAAATGCCTCTAAATTCTATCGGGAGATTTAGAAATCACAACTGAATTGGGCAGTTGAAATTACAATTTTGGTAATAAATGTAAGACTTTGAATGAAAGTTTCATATTTGAACATGATCACAGCATCATTTAGTTTAGTATGATTATAATGTTGTAGAGAGAGAAGGTACA